TATTAATAAATAAATACTGAACTACTGAATCAATTAATAAATATTTTTTTATATTAATAAATAAATACTAAAACCTTTGCACATTTAATAATATTATAAATATAGATATAGATATAGATATAGATATGGATGGTGAGGATTTATAAATCAGTTAAAGGATGAAGGAGTAAAAGGATGCGATGGAATTTTGGAAATATATGTATGTTTAGGATTTATGCAGCGGAATAACATATTTCTACTATAATTTGGAATTCTAATGATAAGAGGACAACATCATGTAATAGGGTCTCATGACTCGCACATTTCTCTCTCTATCATAATAATAATAAATAAATAAGTGATAGAGTCATGTTTTCTTTTTCCAACTTTAATTTTGGTTGGTATAATAGAAATTTTATTGAACCCAAAAAAACAAAAAAGAAAAAAAATAATAAGAATGGTATCCGTGAAAACTACACAAATATAGAATTAGGAGTCTTAAATAACAATTTATTCTATTTTAAAAGTTTACTTTTAATTAATTATAGATGCATTAAGAATTATTATTAAGGCTCAAAATATTCTCCATGCCCTTGTTGTAAAATATCAAAATAACCTTATTTCTAGGATTTCTTTATGTTTTTAGTTTCCTTCTAGTGTTAGGTTTTCTTTATATATTGCAATAGAAAAAATATAAACTTTTATCAATAATGTTATAATTTATTTCTTATTTTGCGGTTTCATGTGAACAATCTATTGCTTTCCGCTACGTCAAGCTCATGTGTGGAAACAATTGGAAAAGAAAGGAAAGAGAAAATTTTTAATTTTTTTTTAGAATTTGGACAGATAGAAAGAGAAAACTAATAAAAAATTTAGTTTTCCTAATTGTGTATTTTCCCTCAAAAAAAAGTTGTCTCCAAAACAACTTCTATGAGGTAAGTTCACAAGACTAATTATACAATTATATATACAGAATATCAATGATAATTTGGATAAAATTGCTCAAAATAGATCAGCTTCTAAGGAGAATTTTTTATTTTTTTAATGGTCTGTTCTATATTGTAATCCTCTGTGTGTGTGTGTATATATATATTTTATATGGTGAATTATTTAATTTTTCTCCTAAACAGTAGTATATTGCCTTTTCATCTCTAAATTTTTATTTTTATTTTATTTTTATCTTAAACTAAGTAATTAGTTTTACCTAAGGAAATATTATGAAGCTTTATTCTAAATATAAAGAATAAAAATGAATGTAAACAATTATATATTTGAATTTAATAATCCATCATTTTACTTCATAAGGATAATTTTGATATGCATAATCACTTCTTTTCACTTTCATGCTATCGAAACTAACAAACTAATATTTTTCTTCAATTTTCTTAGATAAATTTTCATGCTAACCAAATACATGCTACAAAATCTTTTTCTTTTCATTCAGTTCACTTTTCCTTCACTTTTTATTTCTTTAACCAAACGGATTAATTCTTACTGTTACTTCCTTATTTAGTGTTTCAATGTTGAACTTGAAGCGGAACAAGGTCCGTGCTCTAAAGCAAGGTAGAATATTGTTTTCAGTTCTAAGTGTTACTCGGGAATTTTAGAGGAATTATAACATCAACTTCTCAAACTGTAATAGTGGATCATTATGTTGAGTCGTGAAAATTTATTCGTGATTTGCAGAGTGAATCGGTAATTTAATTTGTTATTTCTTTCTTTTTGTTGATTGATATTGATGGGGATTTTCATTATGTTGAGTTGTGAAAATTCATTCGAGAGTGAATCGGTTATTTTGTTATTTCTGTTTTGTGAATTCTTTTGTCACATGATCGAAATAGCTTTAATCCTAATTCAAGTGACTTGTGATTCAGACCTATGCCCTTTGTGTATGAGTGAGGCTAAAACTCATGAACATCTATTTTTCAAATGCAGTTTCTCCTCCTCTTATATTTGGGACTATGTTCAACATACTTGTGGTTTTTACTGCGTAGCGTTACCCTCATAGCTAGATGGATTGACAATGTATCTATGGATGCTATTACAGCTAGACTGTGTTTTTTTCTGCTTCTGTATATTTCATATGGAAGGAGCGAAACAAACATACCTATGCTGGAAAATTTTCTTCTCCTCATGTTGTTTGGAAACTCATTGAAGACTGTATTCGTAATCGCCTCCTCTCCATGATATTCAAGGACTCCAGGAGCCCTAGGAATGTGGCTGCTGATAGTGTGGTCATTAATTGGCAACAATACTGGTAATGTTTGAGCTCTGCTCTATGTTGGTTCCTCTACCTCTGCAATGCTGGTAAGTAGGATGGTTCGGGCTTTCTGATTGTGCCTTGGTGCCCTTGTTTATTGTAGTTCTGTGTTTGGGCTTGCCTGTTTTGGGTAGCCTTTGTATTTTTTCCTCTATTTTTTTAATAAATTTGAATTACCGAAAAAAAAAAAAAAAAAAAACTTGGTGAATCGTTGCGCACAGATGACTGTTGTGCTTGCTATGATGCAACACCATGGTAAGAAGGTAATTTGTGCAAGCATATATGTGGATGTCTTAGAATGTGTTGACTGCTGCTTATTGGAATTCGTTGAGGTCTATATATCATCCATGCATCTTGGCAAATTACTACCCAAGAAGTGAGACTTTAACGGGGATATGTGCTTTGTGGTGTGTGTATATATATATATATATATATATATATATATATATTTGCTAATTATGATTGATGAAATTCACGTCTTACTTTTTCTTATATTATTAGGTTGGCTGTAAAGCTTGATTTCCCATAAGCTGCTCATATATATAGATAGTTTTGGAATTGGACCTCCCTGACCCTGAGTTGTGTACTATATAAATATGGCCACCCCGGCTGGTGACTCAGTGATCTAAGAGCCGTTGATAGAGATATGTCTTCTCTGTTTTGCTACTGGGTTGACTACTTACTATTTCAAGACTCCAAAGTTTAACCATAGCATTACAAGTAAATGATTTTTTTTTTTTTAAATGACACAATTAACCTTTCAGATTTCCTATCCTTATCAATAATATATATATATATTTTTTACACGACCAAAAAAAAAAAAACATTATGTTGAATAGATTGCCTCTTTTGACAGGACCGAAAAAAAAAAAAAAAAAAAAAAAAAAAAAACCATTAAAAATTTTATCTCATTTGATAGGGGAAAAAAAACCCCAAAAAATATATTTATTGAAGAAATTATATCTTCTGTCAAGAAAAAAAAAAAAAAAAAAAAAAATTTCTCTATTGAATAAATTTTCTCTTTTGATGAAAACCAAAAAAATATATATATATTTTTATTGAATAAATTATTTCTTTTGACTGTGACCCAACAAAAAAAACAGAGCAATGTATAAATGGTAATATGCAGGGGCAAGCGATCGTATATTAAGGGAGAGCGATCTTGTATTAAGGAAGAGCGGTCTTGATAATAGAACGAGCGCTTGTATATTTAGGGAGAGCGATCTTGTATTAAGGAAGAGCGGTCTTGATAATAGAATGAGCGCTCGTGTGGCATGTCTAGTGTAGTGCTGCTGAGGTGTCCTACGTCAAACCATATCCCAACTTCAACTATTTTGACAGGACTAAAAATGAAAAAAAAAAAAAAAAAAAAAAAAAAAATGACTAAAGGAAGTAAAGAAGGTGTTTTGACAGGACTATAAGAGCGCTTGTATATGCAAGGGAGAGCGCTCATATATGCGGAGAGAGCGCTCTTATATGAAGGGAGAGCGATCGATCTTGCTCATAGAACGAGCGCTTCTAAGGCAGAGGATGACGAGCGCTGGTGTGGCATGTCTAGTGTACTACTGCTGAGGTGTCCTACGTCAACCATATCCCAACCTTAACTATTTTGACTGGACTAAAAATGAATATATATATATATATATATATATATATATATATATATATATATATATGAGTAAAGGAAGTAAAGAAGGTATTTTTACAGTACTATAAGAGCGCTCATATATGCAGGGAGAGCGATCTTGTTCATAGAACAAGCGCTTCTAACGCACAAAACGACGAGCGCTCGTGTGGCATGTCTAGTATAGTGCTGCTGAGGTGTCCTACGTCAACCATATCCCAACCTCAACTATTTATACAGGACTAAAAACGAAAAAAAAAAAAAAAAAAAAATGAGTAAAGGAAGTAAAGAATGTATTTTTATAGGACTATAAGAGCGCTCGTATATGCAGGGATATCGCTTTTATATGATGGGAGAGCGATCTTGTTCATAGAACGAGCGCTTCTAAGGCACAGGACAACGAGCACTCGTGTGGCATGTCTAGTGTAGTGTTGCTGAGGTGTCCTACGTCAACCATATCCCAACCTCAACTTTTATTTTATTTATTATTTTTTTTTTTGGTAAAGCAAACACACACACACACTTTTTTTGCCCACGCCCGGGCTCGAACCTCTCCCCTCTTTTTTGAAGATGAGGAAGTTATACCACAGGACTAAAAATGAAAAAAAAAAAAAAAAAAAAAAAATGAGTAAAAGAAGTAAAGAAAGTATTTTGACAAGACTATAAGGGCGCTTGTATATGTAAGGAGCGCGATCTTGTTCATAAAACGAATGTTTCTAAGGCACAAGACGACGAGCACTCATATGGCATGTCTAGTTTAGTGCTGCTGAGGTGTCCTATGTCAACCATATCCCAACCTCAACTATTTTGACAGGACAAAAAAAAAAAAATGTTTATTTCACTGACACGCGCTCAGGTTTGAGCAAATATCATCCTCAAACATCTTTTGAAATAGATCCATTTTCACATTTCCGTTACAGTTTTCGTTAAAAATATGTAAAAAGACACTTTTGTCCCTAAAAACCCTTTGACTTGGTTAAAAGTGCTTTCTAACCCTAAAAAATTAAATAAAAGGCTACAATACTCCTAAATACACTACAAATTTATAATTATAGATATATCAAATATATTCATATTTACATATATATATATATATATATATCATATCATACATATAAATATATAAATTTTATCTCCAAAAACCAAATTGAATAGCTCAAATTTTCTAATGCTTCAATCAATACATATATGTATGCATTACTTTGATAAACAAAACCATACTAGATATACATAATTTTTACTCAAATAACAAGCAAATATAAGAATGTAATTGAATACCCATTATTGTAATTAAGAAAAAAAAGAAAAAGAAATTAATTACCTGGACGACCTGGACAAAGGTCTTGAGGATGGTGACAGCAGCTCTCTCGGTGTAATGGCCTTTGTCGACGATGCGATCGAAGAGTTCTCCTCCCTGACAGAGCTTCATCAAAAGATAAACAGCATCTCTATCCTCGTAGACCTCCTTGTACTTGACAATGTTAGGGTTAGAAGGCAAATGGTTCAAGAGGGGTTCTTTCAAGATTGTTAGCTGACGAGAGATTCAGCTCTTTGATCTCTCCAATCACTGCTGCTGCTGCTGTGTCTCCGAGGAAGAGGAATCGTTACTCTTCTCTGGTAATGGTTTGGGGCGTTTGGTTTCTGATTCACAGGTACATATATATATATATATATACATATCCATCCAAAATTTCAACCCCTTAACAAAACTTAAGATGATAGAATTTCTGATTTCCCTTTTTGTCTTCTAATTCTATGCAGATCAGCTAGTCTTCCAATCACTCTCTCTCCTCTCTAGTTTTTTCTTGCTTGGTTTTATTGGGTCTGTTTAATTGCATCCATTTTTCAATTGTAGCATAAATTGTTTGTTGAAAATGAATTATCTGCCAAATATTGTTATATCTATATACATACATATATATATATATATATATATATATATATATATAATTCAATGACTAGGTTTTAACAGTTACTTGGTACAGATATCTGGGTATGCTGGAATTCAGTACACCTCTCCATCATTTGCATATGCAATGTTAAACCTCATCCCAAGTTTTACCGGAGAAAAATCCTCTCCATTCACATCTCACTCCAAAGTGTCTAGTGGTGGGCCATTTGGCTGATGTGGCAAAGGTGGTAAAATGGGTAGGTATTGTAGTTTTTCTTATACCATTTATATACATACTTGTTTATAATACTCTGTATCTTGTACCCTTTCTATACATAATACATCATTTCAATTTCTATTTGAAATTCCCCCTAAAACGAAAATTGAGTTTGCCCCCAAAACTGCCACATATATACTGATTCTAAAATATTCCTCTCTCTCTAACATCCAAATTGAACTCCTTCATCAAGTGTAATCGAGAAACAAGGCAACCAAGATATAAAGATAAAGATTTTGGAGAAGAAGAAGCTGAATAAGGATGTTTTCTGGAAAGCAAAAGATCTCCCTGTTCAAAGAAGCTTCGAGGAGGGGAATCTGACGTTTTCTGGAAGGCAAATGATCTTCATGTTCAAAGAAGCTCCAAGAAGGAGAGATTTCCCCCAAAAAAAATTTTAGTCTGGCGAAAAGCTGAAACTCCGATCATCTAGTCCGGCGAGAAGCTGAAGCTCCGATCATCAGTCTGGCGTAATTTATACATCTTCTTTATGCACGTATTATTGCATCTTTCCAAAATCTATTTGAGTTTCAATTTTCAATTTCTCCCCAAAAGGAAAGTTGACCTTTCCTCAAAACTTTACTATATATATACCATGCCTAAAATATCAAATAGGAAATTCCTCTCTAAAATTTGAGATTCTGTAAAGAAACTCTAGATTCGAAACTCTCCCCAAACTCTGCTATTTATGTTTATGTGTAAAAAACTCTCTTGGTGAAGGTCGAAGAGGCATAGCAAACAAAAGGAGATCTAGTCGGAAAAATCACCATATATTCCGGCAATAAGCTAAAATTTCTGAAGAGGAGAGATTCCCCCAAAATATTTCTGATAGTCCAGCGAGAGCTAAAGCTCCAATCATTATAGTATTAGGTTGTTATTTTGAATTTTTTGTAACTTTATTCATAATGATATATCAAAGTTTATCTTATATTAGTGGTGATTTAATTTTTGTAACAGTATACAGATCAATTTATTATGCTGATAACTTATTTAAACATGTATGATATATGAATTGCATATTGTATCAACATATTTTCCTAACACATTAAAAAAATTATCATCCACAACTCAATTTCACAATTTCTAAATTAATAATAAGAATCACAAATTTTTTCAATATATATGTAGAAAGATTTGCATATTCCATCACTTACTTTTTGTAACAACATACAATACAAACGTTAGAGAGATCAAATTATTATTATCACAACTTTTATTTAACATGTATCATGTATGAATTACATATAGCATCAACATATTTTCCTAACACATTAAAAAAAATCAACTTCTACATCAAAGTATTATTATCACAACTTTTTTAAATATGTGTCATGTATGAAATGCATAGAGTATCAACATATTTTCTTAACACGTTAAAAAAAAAAAAAAAAAAAAATTAACATTCACAATTCAATTTCACAATTCCTAAATTAATAATAATATCACAAATACTTTCAACATATATGTATGAAAATTTGCATATTTCATCACCTACTTTTTGTAACAACATACAATACAAAAGTTGGAGAGATCAAATTATTATTATCACAACTTTTTTAAACATGTATCATGTATGAAGTGCATATAGTATCAACATATTTTCATAACACGTTAAAAAAATTAACTTCCACAACTCAATTTCATAATTCAAAACCTTAAAATCTATATAATCAGTCAATTATTTTCAAAACCTTAAAATCTCAAATAAATTTATATTTGGACACTTAACTGTACCGATACATAATCAATATTTACTATTTATAATTTTACTAAAATGGAATGGAATAAAATATCTTTGTATACAATTTATTGTTATATGTATATTTGGTTGTAATTTTACTGAAAAGGAATGGAATAAAATATCTTTGTATATAATATTTTTATACATATATTTGGATATGGTACTGATATATTTTCGTATGTAAGATGGTGATTTGTAATTTTACTAAAAAGGAATGAAATAAAATATTTTTGTATATAATATATTGTTATACGTATATTTGGCTGCTGTATTAGTACATCTGGTAAAAAAAAGGCATCAGTAACTTTGTTGACCAAATTGCTTAGTGGGTGCTCAGTTGGAAGTGATTAAATGGTGAGGTGGCAAAAAGGGCTGAGGTGGTTTAATCTCAGCCCTTAGATTCTCAATGGACCTGCTCCAGTGAGAGGTGCACTGGAGCAGATTCAGATCCGATTTTACCTTCATACTTGCCATCATCATTTTCAAGTTCAAACTTAAGGGTAAATTTATCATTTGAATCATTAGATAAACAATTTAGTGGGTCAAGCCAAAGTCAAAGGATAAGTATGTCATTTTATATGTAAAAAGTGGTCTGACAAATGTTTGTAATGTAAGTGATAGTTATTTTCGAAAGATATTTGAGGATGATATTTGACCAAATATGAGGGGGTGTCAGTGAAATTATCCTAAGAAAAAAAAAAGGACACCAGGAGCTCTAGGAATTTATAGAGATATGTCTTCTCTGTTTTGCTACTGCATGGTTCCTTTTATCGGCAACCGTGATTCAGCACTACCATTGCTCCTATGGCTGATTGTCTAACTAATGACATACTCCAACAGTCAATCTCTATTTTGCGTACATTTAACCATGCATTAGGTTTGTGGGTTTGGCTAATTTGCCTTTTGTAGCAACATTTTAAATTTTTCATTGCCCATTAATTATGAGTCTCTACAATTTATACACTTGCCCTCAAAAAAAGCCAAAACCGCAATATTGCTTTATTGATATATTTCACAAGTGTATATCCCATAGCAATAGTTATATATATATATATATATATATATATATATATATAAGCTTTCAAAGTAAGCCACTAATGCACCCCACACCAAGGTATTCATATGTGAATCCCACTTCTATAACATACAGTATATTTTAGAAATATACTCCACATGTACATACTAATTTCACTCAAGTTTATAATTACTCTACTTTTATCCAATTGCATCACAATATTAAATGAAATGGCAATTTTAACCTTAACATTACAAGTAAATGATTATTTAAAAAAAAAAATAACAAAACTAACCTTTCAGATTTCCTCTCCTTTCCAATATTTTTTTTTAATTTTTATTTTTACAGGACCAAAAAAAATATTATGTTGAATAAATTGCCTCTTTTGACTGGACCGGGAAAAAAAAATAACCATTAAAAATTTTATCTCGTTGGATAAGGAAGAAAAAACTCCAAAAAATATATTTATTAAAGAAATTATATCTTTATCATGAACAAAAAAAAAATGAGGATTCAAAAAAAAAAAAAAAAATCTCCATTGAATAAATTTTCTCTTTTGATGAAAACCAAAAAAAAAAATATTTTTATTGAATAAATTATTTCTTCTGACCGTGACAACCCCCCCCCCCCTCCTCCAAAAAAAGAGTAACGTATAAATGGTAATATGCAGGGGCGAGCGCTTGTATATTAAGGGAGAGCGATCTTGTATGAAGGAAGAGCAGTCTTGATAATAGAACGAACACTCGTGTGGCATGTCTAGTGTAGTGCTGCTGAGGTGTCCTACATCAATCATATCCCAACATCAACTATTTTGACAGGACTAAAAATGAAAAAAAAAAAAAACAAATAATGAGTAAAGGAAGTAAAGAAGGTATCTTGACAGGACTATAAGAGCGCTCGTATATGCAGGGAGAACGTTCTTATATGAAGGGAGAGCGATCTTGTTCATAGAATGAGCGCTTTTATGGCACAAGACGACGAGCGCTAGTGTGGCATGTCTAGTGTAGTGTTGCTGAGGTGTCCTACGTCAACCATATTCTAACCTCAACTATTTTGACAGGACTAAAAATGAAAAAATAAATAAAAAAAAATAAGAGTAAAGGAAGTAAAGAATGTATTTTTATAGGACTATAAGAGCGCTCGTATATGTAGGGAGAACGCTCGTATATGCAAGGAAAGCGCTCTTATATGAAAGGAGAGCGATCTTATTCACAGAACGAGTGCTTCTAAGGCACAGGACGACGAGCACTCGTGTGGCATGTCTAGTGTAGTGCTGCTGAGGTGTCTTAAGTCAACCATATCCCAACCTCAACCATTTTGACAGGACTAAAAATGATATATATATATATATATATGAGTAAATGAAGTAAAGAAGGTATTTTTACAGGACTATAAGAGCGCTCGTATATGCAGGGAGAGCACTCGTATATACAGGGAGAGCGCTCTTATATGCAGGGAGAGGGCTCTTATATGAAAGGAGAGCGATCTTGTTCATAAAACGAGTGCTTCTGAGGCACAAGATGACGAGTGCTCTTGTGGCATGTCTAATGTAGTGCTGTTGATGTGTCCTACGTCAACCATATCCCAACCTCAACTATTTTGACAGGACTAAAAATGAAAAAATATATATATATGAGTAAAGGAAGTAAAGAAGGTATTTTGATAGGACTATAAGAGCGCTCTTGTGGAGGAGAATTTCCCCACCAATGATAACATGCCACGTGTCTGCAGAATAATTATAAAGAAGCAAGCCCAATCAACACACACGGCTCAGGAGCTCGATGAAGAAGGGCTTTAGGGAGGCCAAAACGGCCCACTTGACTAAATACGGCCCATTCAATAAAAACAACAGGCCAAAGAGGCAGCCCAACCTATTTTTTTTTCAAACTTTGTAACTCCCATTTACATTTAAAACTGTGTAACACCCACAATGAAGTAAATAGCATGCAATAAGGGCACCATGAATGCCCACTTTGTAACTCCCATTTATATTCAAAACTGTGTAACACCCACAATGAAATAAATGGCATGCAATAAGGGCACTATGAATGCCCATCACTGAAAACCGTCAGTAACTGCTCCATAAAGAGCTCTGTAAAGGCATATAAATAGAAGATGAATGAGAAGGAAAATATCATCGAATTCTACTGAAAATACTTCTTCTACTGTCTGATTCATTTACATTTATTCTAAGTTCTTAATTTTTAGGTTATTATTTTCCTTAAGTGTTCGGGTGTAAAAATTTGCACCTACACTTTAGTGCCGTCTGTGGGAAGCGTTTGCAAAAAGCCATTCCATTATTATTTTCATGTGACATCAATTTGGAACGGCAACAGGATCAGATGCCGCACAAGTTTAACAATAAGAAGTTATGCAGAATATGCGCGAAGAGATGCAAATGCAATTTGATGCCCTTCGGCAAGCCAATGAAGCTAGCACTGGAGAGATTATTGCATTGAAGCAGGCCAACGGGGCTAATATAGCGCAAATCAATGCTCTGCGTCAAGAGAACGAAGGACTCTGAATTACTGTTCAACAAACTAATTCGCCGATCGCCTCTCAACCAGAGCTTCCGAACTACCCAATGGAGCCATCGATCGCCCCTCGACCAGAACGTCCGAACGACCCAATGGATCCACTGATCGACCCTCGACCAGAGTGTCAGAATGACCCAATAGATCCACCGATCGCCCCTCAACCAGAGTGTCAAAATGGTCCATTGGATCCAACGGTCGCCCCTCAACCAGAGTATCAAAATAACCCAATGGATCCACCGGTCGCCCCTCAACCAGAACGTCAGAGTGACTCAATTGATCCACCGGTGGCACCTGGACCAACAACCCTCCGCCACAATAGTAGGCCCCTCACCAACAACATAATGCCCAACATGACACTGTGGACGGGAATGAGGGTGGAGATATAACGAGCTAATCTCACGTCATGACAGATTACTCATTGAGGGGGCCACGAACCATGAAAGAACCTGCCTCTAAATATTATGCCGAGTCAGTAAGAAAAAGTTTCTGTGTCCCAGGCGAGGACCAACAATTGCCAAAAAGCGACGTGATTACCAAGTTCCAAAAAGAAATGGACGAGCGCATTAAAGGGTCTTCAGGATTTTCTTACTCTATTCAACATAGAATCCTCAAAAATTCCAGATTACAATCAAGTAACAAA